TACAGACACCTCGGGCGAACGCCGTCTCATTTCCCAGCCTTCTCCGCTTCTTCTCTTCTTCACTTTGCGGCGAATCTTCTTTATTTGGATTTCTCAAAGCCCTTTTGTCTTTATTTCCAGCGGGGCTTAGAAAGAAACCGCCGCTTGCTGCTGCAGCCGCGAGCGCAGCAGCAGCAGCAGCAGCAGCACTGGATTTTTCGGTCTTCTTCCCATTTTCGCTGAACTGACGCCTCAGTTCCTCTTCTCCAGGGCCCCTAGGCCTGCTGCTTCACTTCAAACCCCAATCTATTTACCCTTTTGCTGCTGCTGCTGCTGCTGCTGCTGCTGCTGCAGCAGCAGCCGACTCCACAGGGACACAGGGTCCCCTCCCGCTGCGCGCCCGTTGCGGTGTATGTACACCTCAAGTATCTTTTCCCTTTTCCTCACTTTCCCTTCCCGCCCTCTAGGACTTTCTGCTGTTTCTATCTATCCAAAGCAGCAGCAGCAGCAGCAGCAGCAGCAGCAGCATTAGCAGCAGCAGCAGCAGCAGCAGCGGCATCCGGCGGTCCCTCCACGCAGCGTCTTCGGAGCCCTTGTCCCTCTCTGTGGCCCTGTCTGCGGCTGCGCCTCTCCCTGCTGCTGCTGCTGCTGCTGCTGCAGCTGCTGCAGCTGCTGCAGCAGCAGCAGGCCGTCTGATGCGGGGGCCCCCCTTCTGCTGCCGCCCCTGCAGCAGCAGGGCCCCCCCCCAATGGCTTGACCCTCTTCTCTAGCTTTCTTTCCCTTCTCCCATTTCTCTCCATGGGGCCCCTCGCCCCTCCAGGGGCCCCGGGGGCCCCCGGGGCCCGGGGGGCCCCCCTCCCGCCCCCCGGGCTGCTGAACCTGGGGAGGACCTGCAGCTTTAATGTGCTGCTGCAGGCCTTAGCAGCAACAAGGACCTTTGCAACTCTTTATTCTCCCCAGGTGGGGGCCCCCCAGGGGGGCCCCCCCTTGGGGCCCTGGGGGGCCCCCCCCGCGGGGCCCTGGGGGGGCCCCCCGGCCCCGCAGCAGCAGCAGCAGCAGCAGCAGCAGCAGCAGCAGCAGCAGCAGCAAGGGGGCCCCCTAAAAACCCCTGCAGCAAAAGGGGGCCTCCGCAGCCGCTGGCCGCGCCTGGCGGGCCCAGACCCTTCGGACGCTGTAAACCCTCAGGACACGTGAGCCCTCAAAACCCTAAACTAGGGTTTAGGGTTTAGTGGGCTTATGAGGGTTTGGGGTTTAGGGTTTGCGTTGGCAGTACGGACGGGTTCAGGGCCCTGCTTAGCGGCTGGGAGCCGCTGCCATTTTTGCGCGCAGGGTTTGGGGTTTAGGGTTTAGGGTTTAGGGTTTAGGGTTTAGGGTTTAGGGTTTAGGGTTTAGGGTTTTGACCTTGGGCGTTGGGGTTTAGGGGTGCGAGGGGATGAAAGAACTCGAACTCGTCTTACCCGACCGCCAAGGGTTTAGGGTTTAGGGTTTAGGGTTTAGGGTTTAGGGTTTAGGGTTTGTGCGCAGGACGTGGAGGAGCTGTGGAGGTTCTTGATAGAGCAAATTTTTGCGGAGTTGCAGCCCGGCAGGTCCGGAGCGCCGAGCAGCAGCAGCAGCAGCAGCAGAAGCAGCAGCAGCAGCAGCAGCAGCAGCAGCAGCAGCAGCAGCAAGCAGCAGCCCATCACTTTATCTGAGTGCATCCGCTTGACTCTCAGCCACCAGTGCCAGGGGGACCCGGCCAGCGCTGCTGAGGGCGGCCAGCAGCAGCAGCAGCAGCAGCAGCAGCAGCAGCAGCAGCAGCAGCAGCTGCAGCAGGATTCCCCGAGGACAACAGGGGGGCCCCCTTGTGGGGAGGACCCGGAGGGGCCCCTGTCTTGTCGGGCCACTAGAGCCAGGACGCGGGCAGCAGCAGCAGCAGCAGCAGCAGCTGCTGCTGCTGCTGATGCAGCAGCAGCACCCAATGCCGTCGCAGCGACAGGTGCTGCTGCTGCTGCTGCTGCTGCACAGCAGCAGCAGCAGCAGCCCTTCTGCAGGCGCTGTGGGGCCCCACACCACCGGACGCTGCTGCAGCGGGTGCCGCACTTAGTGCTGCTGCAGCTGCCGCGCAGCACTTACCCCTCCCGCAGCAGCAGCAGCAGCAGCAGCAGCAGCAGGTCTTCGCGGGCTGGCAGCGTGAAGATAAAGGCTCACGTGGACTTTCCGCTGGAGCTGCAGCACCTGCTGCTGCCCTACCTGAAAGACACTGCCTGCAGCAGCAGCAGCAGCAGCAGCAGCAGCAGCAGCAGCAGCAGCAGCAGCGGGAGCGACAGCGGAGCCAGCACCCGCAGCAGCACTCGCGGCTCCGCAGCGCCGCACGCAAAGAAGCCCGGCGCATCCCCCCGGAAGCCGGGCAGCAGCAGCAGCAGCAGCAGCAGCTGCAGCAGCAGCAGCAGCAGCAGCAGCAGCAGCAGCAGCAGCAGCATAGACACAGGTGCAGGGCCCCCTTCAGTGCCTTGCTACGGCCTTCGCGCCGTCATAGAACACCAGGGGCGTTGTGGGGACGGAGGCCATTACGTTTGCTACAGGCGGGGGCCCCCGGGGGGCCCCCGGGGGGCCCCCAAGGCCTCAATGATGACGTTTGGTGGCTTGTTAATGACATTTGCGTCACGCAGAGCTCCTGGGAAGAAGTTAGGAGGACTCAGGCTTATTTGCTGCTATATGAGCGCTGCAGCGAGCAGGAGCAGCAGCAGCAGCAGCAGCAGCAGCTGCAGCAGCAGCAGCTGCAGCAGCAGCAGGTGGAGGGGCCCACGGGCAAGAAAGCTCGGAGAGGCGCGGCCGCCAAGACGCGCCGCTGCCGCGGGGGCCCCCCTTAGTTGTGTATAACTATTTATTTTTTATAAGTACATTTCAGCAGCAGCAGCAGCAGCAGCAGCAGCAGCTGCAGCAGCAGCAGCAGCTGCAGCAGCAGCAGCAGCTGCAGCAGCAGCAGTAGCGGCAGCAGGCCGCCATGTAGCCCCGCACTTAGCGAATGGGAAGAAGCGGCACGCAGAGTCGCGGGAACTGAGACCTAGAAGCTAGGGTTTAGGGTTTAGGGTTTAGGGTTTAGGGTTTCTTTAGCGGCATTAGTTTGTTCCTGCACCTGGTGCTGGTGTTGCTGCTAACCCTCAGTGGGGCCCCTCTAAACCCTAAACCCTAAACCCTAGAAATGAGAGCCTTTGCTGCTGAGGGCCTGCAGCTAGGGGGCTAAACCGTAAACCCTAAACCCTAGCGTTGCATGGCCTCAACTTGCGGGCTAGGGTTTAGGGTTTGCGCTGCAGCGCACTCTCTCGAAACGCGAAAAAGTGCAGCAACACAGTACCTTTAGGGTTTAGGGTTTAGGGTTTAGGGTTTAGGGTTTAGGGTTTAGGGTTTAGTGGTGGCCGTCGCAAAGTAGATCACGAAATCATCCCCTTTTATAAGGTGTGATCTAGAAAGGGTTTAAAAGTGCGATATAATTAAGGTTTTAAGTTTAAGATTTAGGGTTTAGGGTTTAGGGTTTAGGGTTTAGGGTTTTGGGGAGCAGCCGTGGTTGGCTGTGGGGGGGTGGGGCTGGCCCCCGTTGCTGCTGGGGCTCTGTCATCTGCTGGGCTTATAAACCCTAAACCCTAGAGGCCAAACCCTAAACCCTGATTGGGTGGTTATGAATCGCAGCAATTCTCGCTTCTTTGTTGAGTAGGCGGTGTTGCTGCTGCTGCTGCTGCTGCTGCTGCTGCTGCTGCTGCGACTCTGCTCGTCGGTCTGCTGCTGCTGCTCTTGGCGGCGCCGCGTTTGGCGGAAGACGCTCCCCGCACCCAAACCCTAAACCCTAAACCCTAAACCCTAAACCCTAAACCCTCAGGATGAGCAACAAGTACGTGCCGCCCCACCTGCGGGGCGCGGCGGGCGGCGGCGCCGGCGCTGCTGCTGCAGCAGGAACAGCAGCAGCAGCAGCAGCAGCAGCAGGCGCTGCGAGCCGCAGCAGCGGGGAAAGCGCAGCAACTGTCGTGAACAATCTGCTGCGGGCTGCTGCTGCAGCAGACGAGGGGGGCCCCCAGGGGCCCCTCGAGGGGGGCCCCGGGGGGGCCCCCCTTCAGGGAGAAGCAAAGGGCCCCTGGGGGTCTTGGGGCCGGGGGGCCCCCCTGGTGCGCAGCAGCAAGCAGCAGCAGCAGCAGCAGCAGCGGTCAGCAGCACTGCGGGTGGTGGATGTGGATTCTCTCGTTCTTATGAAAATCATCAAACACTGGAGGTAATTAGGGTTTGGAAAGGGTTTAGACGAGGGTTTAGACGAGGGTTTAGACGAGGGTTTAGACGAGGGTTTGGGCTGAGGGTTTAAAAGGGTTTAAAAAGGGTTCAAACGAGGGTTTAGGGTTTGCCTTGCTGCTGCTGCTGCTGCTGCTGCTGCTGCTTTGTTTGCTGCTGCGCTCATTCTGCATCCCTGAAATCTCAGAAAACAGCAAATTAATTAATTAATTAAATTAATTTAATTAATAAATTAAATTAATTAAATTAAATTAAATTAATTAAAATAATTAATTATTTATTTATTTCATTTCAGGGACTTTCACCCTTTACCCGTAAACGGCCAGCTGCTGGGCACTGAAGTCCGCGACAAACTCGAAGTCACAAATTGCTTCCCCCTCCCCCAGAAGAAGGTCCTTGCTGCTGCTGCTGCTGCTGCTGCTGCTGCTGCTGCTGCTGCTGCTGCTGCTGCTGCTGCTTGCTGCTGCTGCTGCTGGTTGGCATCTGAAGGTCCTTGCTGCTGCTGCTGCTGCTGCTGCTGCTGCTGGTTGGCATCTGGCGCATGCCTGCCGCTGCCGGCTTGCTGCTCCCCTCTGCTGCTGCATGTGTGTTGCTGCGCGTCTGCTGCTCGCTGCTGCTTCCCCCTCCCCGCTGCTGCAGCAGCAGCAGCAGCAGCAGCAGCAGCAGCAGCAGCAGCTCCTTGCCGCCTGCCTTCCTCGCGCTGCTGCTTGCTGCGCTGCTTCCCCCTTGTCGCCGCGCGTGCGCTGCCTGCTGCTGCTGCTCCCCCCCCACCGCCGCTGCTGCTGCTGCTCCCCCCCACCGCCGCTGCTGCTGCTGCTGCTGCTGCTGCTGCAGGAGGTGCTGAGCGTGCTGCAGCAGGAGAAAGGCGCTGCTTCTGCAGCAGACTTGGAGGAAAGAGTGGACGAGGAGTTCGACAGACACCAAGACAGAATGGCAGAACTTATGCATGACGTTAAGGTGGACTGCTTCACTGTGGGGTGGTACTTGACAGCAGGTGCTGCTGCTGCACTGCAGCGCGAGATCGTGGAGAGTCTTGCTGCTTACCAGCAGCAAGTGGACAAGGCCGTGCTGCTGGCCTTCGATCCTGCTGCTCTTCGAGCAGCAAAAAACCCCCTCACTGCCTTCAGAGTCAACCCCAAGCTGCTGCATGCGCTCGACGCAGAGCCCCAAGTTGTTGCAAAAATCCAAAACGAACCCGTCCTCATCCAAGTCTGCTGCTGCTGCTGCTGCTGCTGCTGCTGCTGCTGCTGCGGGGAGGCGCGGAGCCGAACGAGCCGCTTTTCAGCTCCTCACGAGCTCCCCACGACCCGCGGCTCCTGCTGCTGCTGCTGCTGCTATAGCTGCTGCTGCTGCAATGCTGCTGCTGCTGCTGCTGCTGCTGCTGCTGCTGCTGCTGGGGGTTCGGGTGTATCTGCAGCTGGCGGGCTGCAATTTGGCTGCAGCGAAGCGCGGCAGCAGCAGCAAAGTTTGGAAGCAAAGCAGCGAGGCAGCAAACCAACAAATAAATAAATAAATAAATAAATAAATAAATAAATAATTTAATTAATTAATTAATTAATTAATTGTTTTCAGGTCCCAGTGTCGCTGCGGAACGCGTTTCTGACGGACCTGTTCCTGGGGAGCCCGCTGGGGCCGCGGGGGCTGCGCAGCAGCAGCTGCTGCTGGGGCGAAAGTGCAGCAGCAGCAGCAGCAGAAATGGAAAAGTCTTTGTGGGGAGTTTGCTGCTGCTTGGAGGGCCTTGGGGAGGAGCAGGAGCGGCTGCAGCGCTACCAGAGAGAGAGTTTGCGGCAGCAGCAGCAGCAGAAGCAGCAGCAGGAAAAAAGGCGGCTTGAAAATGACCAGCGGCGGCTGCGCGGCGAGCCGCTGCTGCCCACAGACCCTGAGGGTTTAGGGTTTAGGGTTTTGGAGGCCCCCTCGCTGCTGCCCGTGCTGCTGCTGCACGAGCAGACGCAGCAGCAAACCAAAGACATTTCTGCTGCTTCCGCAGACACGCTCAGCTCCCTCTTCCTCCTCACTGCTGCAGCAAAACAAACCAAGGAAGAAGCCTCAAACCCCAAGTGACCCGCTGCTGCTGCTGCTGCTGCTGCTGCTGCTGCTGTTCTGCAGCAGCAGCAGCAGCAGCAGCAGCAGGGCGACCGCGCGCTTATTTAGAAGCAAACGCATGCTGCAGCAAATGCTGCTAGTGAGGAGGGAGGGCCGCCGGCCCTAACCATCCACCAACTGCTGCAGCTGCTGCTGCTGCAGCAGCAGCAGCAGCAGCAGCAGCAGCAAGACAGCAGCAGCGCCGCGGCCGCGACTTTTTCTTTTTTGTCTCTTTCTCTCTAACGCCCAAATGCAAACTAGAGAGCCACTTAAAGCAGAGACAGAGACAATATTTATTTAAATTTATATTTATATTTATTTCTTTATTTATTTTTTATATTATTTCTTTTTTATTTATATTATTTAATTCTTTATATTCATTTTCATGGTGTTGTGGTGTTGCTCCTGCTGCTTGCATCTGCTGGGTACAACGAGGGCCCGCAGGAGCAGCAGCAGCAGCAGCAGCAGCTGCTGCTGCTGCTGCTGCAGTTGCTACTGATGGGGTTGCTGCAGCAGCAGCTGTTGCAGCAGTTGCTGCAGTAACGAGGCTGCTGCAGCTGCTGCTGGTGCAGCTGGTACTGCTGCAGCAAGGCTCCTGCACCTGCTGCTGTTGCAACGGGCTGCTGCAGCGCGAGCTGCTGCAGCGCGAGCTGCTGCAGCGCGAGCTGCTGCAGCAGAAGACAGCTTTGCTGCTGCTAAGGGGGCCCACTGGGGCAGCAAATAAGAAAGCTAGAGAATATGAAGGAGACGGAAGAAGCCTCAGTGGCTTGCTGCAGCAGCAGCTGCTGCCCCTTTACCGGCTCGTCGCTGCAGCAGCAGCTGCTGCTGCTGCGACAGCAGCAGCTGCTGCTGCTGCGACAGCAGCAGCAGGAGCAGCAGCCTCGTATAAGCGTTAGTGGCGGCGGAAGAAGCCTCAGTGGCTTGCTGCAGCAGCAGCTGCTGCCCCTTTACCGGCTCGTCGCTGCAGCAGCAGCTGCTGCTGCTGCGACAGCAGCAGCAGGAGCAGCAGCCTCGTATAAGCGTTAGTGGCGGCGGCTGTAGCAGCAGCAGCAGCAGCAGCAGCAGCAGCAGCAACTTACGGAAGAGAACCGGCAAGAAAGCAGCTAGCAGCAGCAGCAAATACGACACGACAGGGAAAGTAGTTAGCTGGCTACAGCAGCAGCAGCAGCCACACCAGCAGCAGCA